GATTCTCATAATTGATAACATTGCCAAGCCACCAATTTTTTTTTTTTTTGAAAGTTATATGAAAATTTTGAACTAACGCAAACGTTTACTATAATTTGAACGAACGCTAACGTTTGCTATAACGATAGGTACGTATATGAGTACATGTGTTCAATAACTTGCTGAGGCTAATGTTATCAGAAAATATTTAATTTAGCATACAAAAAAGTAGATAAAAAAAATCTTAAGGTACCGGATAACTAACTTTTATTTTTGGGAATCAATTCATTGGTTCTTTTCGCTAATTATAATGTTGAAATGCATCGTAATACAAATAGAGCTGTATACATTTTCAATTCCAAAAAGAAGGGTATGCAGGGTTTTTACCATTTTAATATGCCAATCTAAATAAGATGAATTAAACCGATTGGTTCTTGATACAAGTAAGTACTTACAAATAAGTAAATAACCGATAAACATTAATTGTTCTACAATAAACCATAATTATGGATTTTTTACTAAGAATACGTATCCCTAGCATATATGCACCATTATCAGAATGCATTATCAAAAAAACATGACAAAGATTTTTTGATAACAAATTATTTAGATGCGTCATGAAATTTTATCTTATCCAAGACTATTAAAATAAGATTGATTTACGAACCTAAGTTTGCCGCGCATATTTTGAAATTAACGAATGCGATCCTTCAAAGAATGTCACACAAAATACCGGTCTAGCCCGATATTTAAGAAAGTTTAGATGTAGAGAATCAGGAAATTTTAGATAAGTGATAACTTGATACAAAGTTTAGTTGCTTAATCTATTGCATATTTTAAAGTTAGCTAAATTCTAAACATTTTTACTTAGATAATAAAAATAAATTGTCATAACAAGTATTTAGAGTATGCAGTATTTATCGAGACTATCCCGTGATAATATTGCATGAAAAGATTGCATGATAAGATTGCATAGAAGGGCAGGAAACGAAATTTTATCCAAGTAGTTATATTCGCGCATAAAATTAAGCACGTTAGATGACGTAATTGCGGGCTCAGATTCTTTAAAGTTTGTATGAAATGATTATTTTTGTTTTTAAGATTTCAGGATTATTGAATGATACGTTTGGTGATTGATAATGCTTAAATGAGATAAAGTCTTATTGGCACATCAATTTCCAAATATTTTTGATCGTGATCATTATCGGATTTTACCCGCCCAAACGTTAATTTCGTTGGATGTGACACAAGAATATCCTAAAAACTTAGTACATATACACTTCACGTGATATTTACCCCTGCATATTATGTGGAATAGGTATATTTACATGGGAATGCAGTGTAAGGTGAAGTTGTTTTTTTTTAATATAAACGATGCAACAATGTTTTTAACAGTGATGTAATGGTATTTATGCTTCAGAACACTATAAACACTTCAAACACTTTATAACAACGTACCTATTCTTAATATGTTAAGGAAAAAAGTAGCTGTTTATGATCAGAATGTTTTTTTAAAAAAAAGAAATAAAAAAGAAATAACGCTAGGATTATTAGGTCTCTTAAAAATAACGTATTAAATGCCATTAAAGCATATCCATTACAATAAAGGTGGCCTGATTCAAAAGTAAATAAAGGGGCATTTTTTTTCATTGTGTCTTACGGTAATATATCAATTATAAACATCGATATTTCTGTAACTTCCAATTCTAGTTTCAACAATAAAGATAATGATAAATTAATAACAGTCAAAAACTTGTGTGATATTTTCTGAATCATATGATATTTAAGTAACGATCCCTAAAATGATAATCGGAAAATTAAAAATACAGCCAAGAAACGAGTTTGTAATACATAATGATACGTAGCACATGTAAAATGTAGCATGTAGATACGATGACTAGGCGTAAATTTGTGCATTGTATACAGTATGTTTCGTATGAACTGTACCTTTGTTTTATCATTTACTTTGTTTACTAAAATTGAAGGGACACGTTAGTGACACTTTAGATTAGTTTTTCAAAATTGATGTTTACTATTTTCCGAAAAAGTAAAGTATATATAGTCTTATGTGTGTGATACTTCTTTAATAAGACCAGGACACCTCTTCTGCATTCCGCTCATCCAAACGTCCGCATTCCCTCCTTCATATAAAAACCCCTATCACACCATAAAACTAGTCCCAAAAGTCGCGTTGGCGTTGTCTTAGTTATTGTAGATTTTATATATAGCACGACCTTTCGCACATATACTTTCTTTTAAAAAAAAAACAAAATTTTTTTTTATTAATTAATTTTAGAAAAGGTTAATTATTCTATACAAGAAAAAAATAAAATAAAATAAAAAAAAAATATAATAAACACACCAACATTAGACTTAAGACTTAACGAAAATGTCCATGAAAAATCGTCCTCAGACGAGCGACTATATAAAATCTGCCAAAGGCGTATCGTTTTCTTATGCAGCTGGTTTTAATAGTTTTCAGAAAGGAACTCTCGGAGATTCTGATAGTTATGTAACGGGAACATTACATTTTAATTATGGAAAACCTCAGCAAATTAAGAGTGTTTGTCTTAATTTTAAAGGTATTGAAAAAACAACTTGGTATAAAGCTCAAGCTAGGTCAAAAGCTGTTTACTCGGGTGAACATACCATCGTCGATCTAATTGAAGAAGTTTGGAAAACTGACAGCCATGAGGGTGGTATCATGAATTTGGAAATTCCATTCAAGATCAAACTTCCTCCTAATCTACCCGATACAATTGAAACTGAGATTGGAAACATTGAATATATTATTCGTGCTGTTATTACTCGTAAAGGAAGTTTGGTATTATCGGCTTCAACTCAAGTTGTTGAAATTAAATGCCATTTAAAAAGAACTTTAATTTTAAGTGGCTCTGATAATGTTCCTTATAAATTACGTGGTGAATCCAGAAGTGGTATCGATTATCTCTTTAGTTTACCTCCGAAAAAAAATTTTAACCCTGGAGCTTATGTTTCTATCCCTATGAGAATTCGATTCGTAAAACCAGGTGTTAGTGTCGAAAGAATTGAGATTGCTTTAAAAACTTGCATGGATTTTAGATGTAGTATTCCAAGTGAAACACGTCATGTCAAAGAAGTTGCTACTTCTTTATTAATTCCACGTCAAGATCTTAAATATAATCAACAATCTTCCGCCGATTTTGATGGTGAATGCACGCATACTATTAATCTATTTGTTCCGCGTAACGTCCAACCAACTTATTCCGGACGTTATATCAGCATTAATCATCAACTTATTGTAAAGTTTTGTTTATGGGGTGCTGATAACGATTTTCAAGTAGAAGAAAGTATAAGAGTTACGAATGTTTTCGATCAACAACAAAGTAACGGTCAATCTTCTTCTCATTCCAATGTTTCTCCAACTTATCAAAGAAATAAATCTCCCGAAGAACTTAACGATACAACCGCTGATGCTTATTTTACGGATGAATATGACCGCGGAATCGGAACTGCAATATATTTAAATCCAATTGAACAAGCTGAAAAAGGTTCTATTTATTCTGGTCATTCTAGTCGTCCATCACAAAATTCGGTAAAAATTGTTACCGATCCAGACTCTCTACAATCACCACCATCATATCCTGAAATTCCTAATCTGCATTATAACACTTCAATAAATAGTGAATTAGCACAACATAAAACTTTATACAAACCCACATCAGCAGATGACTTAACCCTTCTCTCTAAAAAAGCTTATAGTTCAGCAACTAATCATATAATTAATAATTATACTTCAAATGATGATCAATTTTATTCATATGCTTATGATGATGAGGAAGACATAGATCCTTCTGCAATAAGCAATACCGATTTATTACTTCGACAAAACATGCAACGTTTGGCTATAGCTCATCATCAACAACAACAACAAATTCTTTATAATCAACAAAATCCTATATATGTTGCACCAAACTCACCTCCAGTCCGCCTTGCACCTCTTCCTGCAATACCTATTAATATGAAGAAGCAAGGTAAAACTGGTGTGATTTTATCTCCCACCCCTCGTATGCCAACTGGGAATGCCATCATGAATCTTAACGCTAGTGTCAATAACAATAAATACCCTCCTCCTTACGGTCCTCCTCCATCTGAACGTGGTCAACCAGTTGTTTATACTCAAATACCACCACCGAATTCTTCAAGAAAACAACATCATCCATCTCCAACAAGACCCCCAGTTACTGCTCCACCATATTATCAAGGTGGACAGAAACAAATAATTGATGAAAATGCTTATTATTAAATTAATCACGTGGATTCAGATTTCATTCTTTATTTATTATTGTTATTGATTTTTTTCATTGTACATAATTCAATTATTATTTAAAGTGTATTTTTCTTCATATAACAACTTTTCAAAAGATTATCTATTAATCATTATATATAATATTTTTGCACATGATTTTTAGATAGTTCTGTGTTATTTATTTATTTATTATTGTTATATTCTTTTTTTTTTTTACATACGATATGTACGTGCATGCATTCTTTTTTTTTTCTTTCATAATTCAATGAGCCGCTTAGAGCAAGTTTACCCATCATGTAATATACGAAGCACTACAATTATTAGAATTAGCATAGTTAAAATTAATCAAAACTTTAGAATTTATTTTAAAAAAAAGTTTTGATTAAAAAAGTAATAATTAGTTTTTTATATGAGGAATAAAATTGCCCTAGGCATTAAATAGTATACAACTTTATTTATTATGATGTATTCAATTTAACAAAATAAAGTGACGTGTATCCGGGATATTTGTAACTTTCTTTTGTTATATTTTTGTTATAAGTTCTAAATAAAAAAATAAAAAATCTACAAAAAAAAAAATTTGAAAAAAATTACTTTTGATTATTACGTATTATTATTATTATTATTATTGTTTTTAGCAATTTACATACGTAAGTACATACTGACGCATGGCGTTCTCGAAATCTAAAATTCTTAGGTTTCATCTCACATTGAGATTCTCGGTGGTAGCAATTCTCGTTTAAATCGCGTATATCTTCGCCTTTCTTGAAATCCAAAGGTTATAATAAGGCTGTGAAAAAATTATACTAACAAAAGAAAGCTTGCTTCTTAATTATGATACATATGGTAAACAATAAAACTCGAAACAAGAAGTCAAATACTGTTTTCGACAGTGAAAGCTATCTATAACAGTATGAAAAATAAGATTCCTGTTAGAGAAAATAAAAGCAAAACTATCGTTATTATATAAAAAGGTAAATATTTAAGCTCATTGTTAATGCCTTTGTTCTTTATCTTTGTACTTTATGAAAGTTCTCATTAAATGAATTGCCGTTGTTCTTAATTAAATAACTTTGTTCTTAATAAGGATTACCATTTCGAATTTCGTCTTTGTTATCGTTCGTTATCATTACAGCATTAGAATGGATATCAAAAATCCAGAATGACGACCCAAAGTGTGACGTGCGGCGCAGTCAATTCCAAATTAGCGACTATTGTCACCTCCCGAATCTTTTGTCATTTTCTCTGGCCTAATTCAGTACTACATTGCAAATTAATGAATTGCTGAATATGCATCTGTTTATCGTTATGTTCATTATTCGCTCAATATAGTCATATTGTTCGGAACTTAACGGAGATATGAAAAACAGAGAGATACAAGTTTGGATTTTCTTTAATGTTAATCTCTTGGCATCCATAATAAGCCTAAATTTTCCGATATTACCACCTTATCATATTAAAAATTCTCGGAGGTTCTCAAAAATAAAATTTTAACCCGTTTAAGTATGTGACCAATTTTAAATTCAATATTTCTGTATTTATCACTTAAACAGCACACAGATTTGCTTGTTCATTGTCATTGGATTATCGGTGCGTATACATATCAATAGGTAGTATAAGGGATAGTCGCACTATCTTGCTACATCTGAGACTAATGTTGCACGTTATTATGTCCGTGTTTTTACATGCAGAGCCAATAGAGGATGCAGAAATGCTGAATATGTATTATGTACAAAATTACGTTAGGATTGTACAACAATGATATGTATCTCAATAACTACAGAACTACATAATTAAAATCGATGAAGTTTTTTTTTATATTAATTTATGGATTTATACGTAGAATTAAAAATAAAATTTTTATCGATTTTGATAAGTAGTTATCAAGATATCGTCGTTCAAAAGTTTAAGAAAATTAAGGAGATTATCAAACCAAAAATTGCGGCTACGTTTTTTCTCAAACTTTGAACGATAATATCTCGATAATTACCTATCTAAACTTGATGAAAAAACATTTAATTTAATTAATAGAAAATAATATGTTACAATAAATATAATTATTTTTTTAAAAAAACTATATATATAGCTATTTAATTTTCTAATTGTATTATATGTTATACGTATAATTTGCAAATTAATTTTTTATAAAAGTTAATTTAAATTAGAATTTAGTTATATATACATTTATATTAAAACAATAAAAAATTACAAATAAAACCAAGCAAATTAATTTAATTGTTTCTCATTACATGGGACCGGCAAAAATATTATATAATTTTCTAAAAAAAATACCCGGCCGGGTAACGAGAAACAATTTTATTTGTTTGCATGGCCTAATTTAATTATACTTTAAAAATTTGAGTTACTGTAATAACAACCAATCAACAGAAATGATGATCGTAACTAATTCAGTAATTTAGATTAATACCTCATTGGAGATGTGATACGTAGAAACCGGCTTATGCCGTAACTAATTACAACATCATCGCTAGCTAGTTACAGCTTAGGTCGTAATGCCTACCGCACCTCTATAGATCATCGGAAAAACACTTTTGAAACAAAATCAAGAATGGAAAAACGTTAAAAGATATGCATATGGCAAATTATGATATGCACACGGTAAATTATAATATGCACACGATAAATTATGACATACTTCTTATGAACTAAATTTCGTATTCAGTTGATTTTTAAACGAGCAAATTTGATAATTGCATAAATAATAAAAATTTACTTCTACGACATGCTCATATTATTTGTTTCACACTTATGGAAACATGGAATTATAATTAGGAACAGAAAATTTTATTCGCAGTTGTCTAATACAAATTCATTTATTTCGGAACATTCATCACGTGAAATGTAAAAGATTTTTAGCGCACTTATACGGAAATCTTTGATTTAGTGAAACACGGTTAGTGTTGCAAGCAGACTAGGGCAGCCGCGGTTAAGCCAGCTTAGACGACTAAGCCAGCCGAAATAATATGATCGGTTGGCTAATGCTAGGGATGGGTTCAGTCAGCTACGGTCGGTTACAGTATCGGTCAGCTATTATCGACTATCGACTAATAGCCGGCTATAGCCGATCAATTTCTTAATCAATTTTTTAATCAAACATATAAACAAGTTATAAATAATTATATTTTTATATATGCTATTGTTACTATTGTTTGGGAGAGCAATTAATACAGAACGTTCGATTTAGCTCCAATAGTAAGCGTGAACGGTTATAAATATCGTTCGTTCTACTATGAGCACGTGGGCTAATGTGACTAATTAGGTAGATCGGGATCAGGGTAATTAATCTATCAGACCGAATCAAGGTTTATACAATCGGGTTTAAGGGTTAATCTAAGGAAGGCGGTACGCACTGTCAATAATTTTAAGAGTATGCAGATAATAATAATACTATAATATAGTTAATATTTCGGGATAACAATTAGAATAATAGATTAGTTTATAGTTAGCGAATAGGGTTAATTAAGGGTTTAATAATAATGTCAATAGGATTTTTTAATAACAATATAACATGTTAAGTTCAAAACTTATATTTAATCAATTGAGAATCTAATTCTTATTTGTAAACTCATTAAAGACATCGAAGTCTGAGAAAACTTTTATTAATGCAAAAACTCAGGTCTTAAATACATTTTAATTTACTATAAACTACTGCGGTAGACTTTTTTACTAACTGACTCTCGCCTAATACTATGAAATAGCTCTTATGCAGCCTGAAGTATGAATGTCTTGAATTAGCTTCATTCTACCCTACATTTCTTCCTCTAGCTATTATTATATCTTTGCTTGTCATGACAAGACATCAATGTCTTGTTGACATAAACATTTATGTTAATTATTACAATTTCATATATTAACAAAACAGCAATGTCTTGTTTACGTAAACATTTATAACTAATTATAAGTTTCCTTTTAGCCTCAACTATATCTTTCAATGTCTGCTTAATAAACAAATAAATAGAATAATAATAGATAAATGAAAATAATACTGCATAATAAGAATCTATCTAAGCCCAAATAGAATGTCATGAGAAACAGTAATACTATACAGTTGAAGTATCTAGCCATGGCAGGTCATAAGCTATAAACAGCCAATCAAAATAATCAAAATATTGATGACCTTTTCAAAGCAAGCTAATTTTGGTCAAATTTGTAAATCATTTGCCTATTATGAGTTTAGAACTTATCCCCAATAGGCCAAATGATCTGCAAATTTAATCAAAATTAGATTATTTTGAAAATGTAGATTGGTTCTACAAAATTTTGAAAAACTTTCAAGATTAAGCAAAGATTTCTCTGTAACTACTTATTAAACTCTAAAATTTTTTTATTTTAACTAGCTAAAAACTTGTGCAATAATGCACAGTGATAAATATATATAGTCTAGAATAAAATTTTTTTAAAACAGAATAAACTTGCTTTACTTTCAACTCAAATACAACCCATGCTAATAGTTTTGAATAATTCTTTGAAATTTATCTAACCAGGTAGGTTTTTTTTATATGGTGCGCCAAGTCACTTCTTATCAAAAATCATGCTTATTTTAAAAAATCTATAAAATCTTAAGTTTTAAATATT